CGAAAATAAAATGGTGTAAAGCTTGAAAACAAATTTAACTTTAAGTAATTTCGACGAGAATAGCTACTGACAACAAAATCCCTCGAACTTATCAGAATATTCATCAGTGATCGTTTGAATTTATTGTTAAATCCAATTTACGTTTACGTTCAAGTTCATTTGTGTAATCCAACAGTGCTTAAAAATTTAAGCTCGGAATTTCACTCGTCTTAAGGCCTGGCTACATAAGTCGGGCTGTTTCAGTTTTGCCGGGATTTTGCCAAGATCTCAGCGCTCAAGTCAGTTAAACGCAACAAAAATCAACCTTGTTATAACACGATAACCAGGCTGGCTCGGTTATCGAGATCTCGGCAAAACTGAGCCAGCCTAGCTCATGTAATCAGGTCCCAACGTTACAAATACATGTTTCTGCAACAAACCAACACTTCTTTATTATCGTTAGAGGATTAATGTTTAAATTCTGGGGCATTTGTTGATTTATAGTTTATTTTTGTTTTAATTTTTTTGCAGACTGACTGTTAAAATCCCAGATCCCTTAAGCACGAATCAAACAAGAAAGGCTATGATCCAATTGAAATACAAGATTTATTCAGAGGTATTAAAACAGATGAGGTGCATTTTTAAGAACAGCATCTCTCGATTCAGAGCTAAGACCCAGACGCCTAAATCGGAGACTAATAACTTTTATTTCTTGATATTTGGGGGCTCGACTCATGTTAAGGGCAGTTTAAAATAAATATTTTTGGTGCAAAAAAAACAAAAAACAAAAAGAATATACGGTGCTTGTACTACGCATATGCTAATTTTTCTATATTCATTCTGTAAGTAACATCTGTTCAATTCTGGTGAATTTTCCCGCCAAAAGACTTAGAAAAAGTACGGCGCTTAAAATACGCATGCGCCACTTTTTTTAAATACACAAGTTATGTCTTTCAAGTATACTACAGAGGTAATAAACTGAATATTTTACTTGTTCTCTTTGTGCATTGTTATTATCTACTATTAATAAAACAGATATTTGTGTCATCTTTTATTGTCCTTAAATACATACTCAATAAACCACAAAAGTCACACAAAGTATTTATTCTTTTTAATCACAAAATAATTATTTAAGTAGCGTAAAAGTAGTTGTCGAGAAAAAAATTTTCGTATATATATAGATTGCATCTCGTGCAAAAAGAATTGAATAGTTATCGTCAATTTCCCCATCACTCTTAAAAAAAATCCAAACAGTTTAGAAAGTTTCGTTTCTTTCAAAAGAAATCCTTACCCGACATACCAATCCCTCAGCCTTTTTTGAAGACTTCGATTTTTTGCACCAGATGATGTGTGGAAGTTTTAAACGAAAGAGCATCATGGCAAACTATTGAGTGTCAAATCAGAAATATTGACTTCATCGCCAAAATTGAGATCAATTTTTTTTAACTCAAACTTTGTTTTTAAGTCTAATTATTTTTTTACTAAAAGCCTTTAGCTTGCCCATTATGCCTGTTTCGAATGTAACACAGGACACAGGATGCAAAAGAACCGAAAAAAAAAAATTCAAAACCTTTAACTAGATTTCCTGGTTCAAAATTCTCTTTTCGACTAAATTTGGATGAAAAACTACAAATTATTGGAATATGGTGTTTGAATTTAGTCATAAGAACCAAGACATTGTCCTTTGGCTCCAAATTTCTTAAAACTTGTTTCGCTAAGCTTTTGAGAAATAAAATAAATTCAACAGCGAAGACATTTCACGATTAGAGTCCAGGTTTCAATTTGATTTGCGAAGAAATTTCATAAAATGGCCTCGATGAGAGGAAGTTGGAGCGAACTCTTACAATTTGATTTTAGCCTTCAAAAGTTACGACGTGTAACGATTAGGCTCCTAGTTTCTTTAACTAGATTTGTGAAGCATTTTGAGAAATTGAATAGAAAAATCATCAGCTCTTTGAAATCGATTCTACCCTCTTAGGATGAAGAAGTTTCTTTTGTTAGGCTTCAAATCATTAACGATTAATTTTTGCAGGGAATTGTTTCGCAAGAATTAGTCGTCAAACGCGTTCAATTTCTTTTTTAAACTGAGTCTAAAGATCAAAATTTCAAACTTTTACTCTTTTTTTTCCAGTATTCCTGTGTTACACACCAACTGACTGCCCAAAAGATCCTCCCTCCATTTAAAACAAGGAATAAATAAATTAACTACAATATGTTTTAAAAACCGAATGCCTGTTTCAAAATGGTGACAAACGATCCCCTTTTTCGAGTGCAGCTTAATTTTGAAGTTTTGTAGACAACCTAAAGATTAAGAGATTATCATCTCTTGCAAGAAATGACTTATCAAAGAACTTATCAAATATTATATAAACCAGCAAAATGACAATCACTGCGGTGAAAGGAATCAAAAGTACTTGCTTTTAAAAGAGATGACCGTCATTTTCTATAAACTTTAATTAAATAGACCCAATTTGAGTTTTGGTTCGCGCTTCGGTTTCGTAAAATCAACTGCTTTCTGTACAAATTTCAATTCTGAAAAAAGTCAATATGTTTACAAATCTTTTACTTTTCACGAAACTCGTTATCAATATGTAAAAGCATTAAACAAGAAAAAACGACAACTGTTTTAATTTGGTAAACTGTCAAATCGTGTCATTTTGTTTAATTTGCACTTCTGATTCTGATTAAATTTTTTCTCGGAAAAGTTAAAATCTCTATTTCTTTATCGTCAAAACTGGTTTATATAAGAGAAATTTCAACTCAATCAGTTTCTTGAAGAGCTCGTGATCAGGCATCAGAGTTTTAAAACATATCTTACTTTTAATTGGAAACTGAACTTAGTTGATGGCACAAAGTAACGGATATAAACTAAGATGGCACTGAACTAAAATCTTGCTTTGTGTGTGAAAAACTAAAAAAAACTCCTCCTTGAATAACGTTCCTAAATTTTCAATTTAATGCTAATCATGCCAAGAATGAATTTTCATTTAAAATCAGTATTATTTTGCCAAAATTTTCTCCTGGTTTCATTCAATTGTCAATAATGAAGTACGATGGTTTAGGTTGGAGTAGTCCTGAAAAGTTTTTTTGTCGAATCTAGTGACTAGCCCGAGTTGAAGTCATCAGAGTCGAGTGAACAATTGTTTATTAATCAAATGTTACACTTCTCTGGTTTGTAAAAGTGATCGGTTAGTTTTGCAGTAAAGTGGCTGTCAGACTCAAATATCGTTCGTCCATTGATTAGTCAGTTTTGATCAGTTGGTTAGGTCAGTTCTGTTTTTGTCCGTTGGTGACTGCGTTAGTCTGTTTTCAAGTCGTTTTTAAGGTGCCGGCGCAGATAGTTGGTCTCATCTGTTGTAAGACGTCAGTCCACTCTAACTTAGTAAACTAACTTTTCAAGGGCAGTCTTTTGAAAATTTGTTAAGTCGATGTTGTTCAGCAATCTGATTTTCGACGTAAAGAAAATACGGAAATTCAATCAAATTCATTAAAATATTTCAATTTTGAATCCCATTTCCATTTTTTCAGTATTTTGTTCAAGTGCCACCTTAGTATCGCCTTTGTGCTACTTCAACTAGAACTCTACTGTGATACCAATTGTAAAACAGACCAAAAAAAATGAACGATCAGAGCTTCGAAATTGATAATTTAAGTGTTAGCATTCCGTAGCCAGGATTATATCAGATTCTAGTTGTTTCTGTCTTAACTTCGATACAAAGATATTCTCTAAGATACATTACACCAAATTATTGCTTAGTTCAAATAAATCAATCGATTGCTCATGGTCTGGATAACAATCTGTAACACAACAAACTATTCCAAAAATGATGGCTAGTTAGAACTCTTCCCTTACCGTGTAATCAGTTTTATCCATTCTAAGACAATAGGCCATTTTACAGTTGTGTACTTAGTTGCCAAGCCTTTGATTTGGAGTGAGGCTGAAGGTGACCTTGTTGTGATAGAAACCAGTATATAGTTTGTATGATAACAAAGTAATTTGCATTTGAAAAGCAGCAAGGTTTGTATCATAACTAGGTCACCTTTAGCCTCACTCCTGTTCAAAGGCTTGGCAACCAAGCACACAACTGTAAAATGGTCGATTAGCGAAAGAACGAAGACTTCGTGCAATAATTAGACTTACAAAGGGCCACCATTTTTGCTAGTATTACTAAATAATTTCAAAGTTCTTATCTTTGCAGTGTCCACTAAAGATCCAGTGATTGCAGCGTCTTCTCTTGACCAAGACCTTTGTTCTTCCAGTCTTCTGAAAACATTTTACCTTCTGAAAGTAGAAAATATGAATGTGATCAGGGAATGTTTATTTTCCATGAGGAAAAAAACTAAAACTGAATTAAAATTCTGTATAAATGCCTTGCTTATTGACACGTTAAAGCAAAAGCTGATAGTAAAACGGGAAGCATCAGAACGTTGTCAAACGTTATTTACAATAAAGCAAACGCCATTGAGTGGAAGAGTCATCAGAACTCCACGTGGCTGCATTCAAATACAAAATGTCATTCATGTCATCCCAAACACACATAGCAAGCAAATATAATTTTTAAGTGAGCGTTTCACTACATATTTTAGAGTTATATTTTTATGCCTTTTTCGAAGCCGAGACCTTAATTCGGTTTGATATTTCGATGAAGAGCCGTTCAGACCGGGCAACCGATTCGTGCTGTGTCGTTGAACTGAGATAGAATTGGATCTCTGAGAGGGCTCAAGGTGATATTTTCCAAAGTCAATGCTCACCTGGTGTTATAGCGACATGTTTTCTTTGCCCTTCTTTAGAGGTCCAGTGACTTCTTCCTTCCAGAGTGCAACGTCATGCTCAGCACAACGGACACCATGTCTTCACTCTACGACGGAAAGCGTTGTTGGCTGAAAACTCTACAACTTCTGATGAATATGGATGAACAGCTGCAGCCGCGGTTATGTTACAGATTTGGCGAGGATATCTGTTTGCACGCTCAGCAAGTAACAAGAATCAAGCCTAATGAACAGGCATTGTATTAACGGATCGGCATGTGTCAAGATGGAAAAACTCACTGCTGCTGAATTTTGGGAATTACTGCGTGATCAGTAAATTACTCTGACACTCGAAAAGAGTTAGTTTGAAAGACCAATAGCATTAAAGGCAGTTGATTTCAAAATATTTCAGGCCTCAATTTTTTAATTGCGTGAATAGAAGGCTAATTGTTCTTTATTATCTTACGAAGGGAGCGTAACAAGAAGAACGCAAATATGATAATGACGCAATGTTATTTACCGTGGAGGAAAAAACGTGGAAAAATTAACGCATTGATACTCTCTCATGTAGGGAAAAAAGATTAAAAGTACATAAAATGAATTAAAAACGCCATAATTTTATCAAGCAAACTAAGGAACAAAAAATCTCCATTTTCGAGTAAAGAGAAAGAGAAGTTTAAAATCCAGTCAAGTCCCTTAATTTAACCCCCCAAAAGAGGAAATTCTTCCAGACCACTCAAAAGAAATGGCTTCTCATGAAGGACCCTTTTTCATCGAAGGATGTTTCACTTGCTGCTTATCAAGATGATGAACCTTTTGACAAAACATATTTCAAGTCGGACACTTTTGGTTGGAAAGGAGGTAAAGGACACCACTCAATCGAATAATTTGCCAAGGGGTAGCTCCAACTGGGAGCCTCTCATTTAACCTGTCACCTCTGCTGACAAAAACAAGGGTAAGACTTTTCACAGCGTTGTAATATTTAATTTTGCACTTAGCAGTGCCTTAAAATTTAACAATTTAGCGTCGTAGGTCATCTCACAACTTCCACTTATACAAAAATATGCCATACACTACAAAAACTATCAAATGTAACAAAAAATAACGACTATGAACCAAAAACAAAAATTAAAAATACTTTCTTACTTTGCCTTATATAGTACATTTATATATAAATAACGTGGAGCATTAAATATCTCTCTATCTGGATAAATACTTTGATCAACTACAGCTAACTCATCTAAGCCATGTCCGAACTCGCCTCAGGGTGTGCGAGGCCACAAATGGTGTTCAGTGATCTGGGGATGAGTATGACTGCTCAGTTCCAAAAGGCTAAAAGTTACTTCAAAATCTACCTTACAGGCCCTCTCCAAAACAGCATCTGAGTACGTAAGTGTAAAATCTCAAAAACCATTTTGAATTGTAGTCTTTTTAGAAACTTCTTATTGAGGAAACTATGACGTAATCGTGAAATTGATGTCGTCAGATTTCATTCAGATTTTAAAAACTTATTATTCTTTCCCCAATCACCGTCTAACTCGGATAGTGACCAAGACTGAATTTTACATTAAAAGATCAATAAAATATCAAGGAGACAAGAAACGAAAATAAAGAAAAAATATCAATTGGGGGATTTTTAGTTGATCGAAAATCAAATCCTCCCAATTAACATTAAGAATTGTAATGGTGAGAGAAAGGAGAATCACTTATAAGATCTTGGGAGTGATAGGGTTTATTTCATACCAAGGTTTGTTTGTTTAATTTTTTTCTTTAAATTACCACTTCCTTTAGATTTACACGTACAATTTGCATGTAGAGAATTCCAAAATGTCTTTTTCAAGGGACATGGATGTATAAATGTTAAGTATGTTAATGATGAAGTCTCTGGACGATGGCGAATTCCAACAGCAGTTCTATCTTACAGAGAGTGGAAATGAAGTGATATTTTCGAGCTAAAGATGAAGTGAAATGTTGACTCAATACCGTCTGCTTCTTGGTTGATAACTAG